GAGGCAAGGATTCTGGGGATTCCTCTGACATACTTTGGACATGTTCTAAGGAGAGACAGGTCCTTGGAGAGGGACATCATGCTTGGTAGGGTAGATGGACAGCGCAGGAGGGGAAGACCCTCTATGAGGTGGATTGATTCAGTGACTGGGGTAATCATGATGGGTGTCAGAGGCAATGTGATTGGCACAGGACAGAGCAGGGTTTAGAGCTGTTGTGCATAGGGTCGCTATGAGTTGCAAACGACTCGACGGCACATAACAACAATGACAACAACAACATGTGCATCAAACACTTTTTCCAATAGGGTGAAAGCCTACAGACTAAGAAAACAAAATTGGCAATGACATCTCAGACAAGGGTCTCATAATTAAAATTGACAGAAGACTATGAGCTTCCACAAGAAAAAGACTGATAAATGAATAACAAAATGGGCATGAAAAGACTTTTTACAAAGGAAGACATTCAGATGGCCGACACATGAAGAAATGTTCAAAATAGCTGGCAATCAGAGAGATTCAAATCAAAACAATGAGACATCATATCACCCCAGTGGCAGTAGCAAAGTTTATCAGAAGAGCAAGCAATGAATGTTGGAGGGGATGTGGAGAGACTGGAATGCTCATACACTGCTGGTAGGATTTTGAACCAGTACAACCACTTTGGAAGGTAGTTTGGCATTTACTCAAAAAGCTGAACATAGTAATCCTGTATGACCCAGCTACTGAACTGTTAAGAATATACCCCAAGGAAATTAGAACTGAGACATGAACATTTATGTTCACAGTGTTATTCACAATAGTAAGAATATGGAAACAGTCCAAATGCCCATCAACAAATGAATGGATTGAGAAACTGTGGTTCATTCATACAATAGAATACTATGCAGCACTAAGGAACAATGATTATGTAAAATACTATGTAATATAGGAGAGTCTAGAGAGCATTATGTTGAGTAAACTAACTCAGTCTCATAGAGACAAATAGTGAATTACCATTATAAAAACTTAAGAATAACTATTTAGATGTGTATTTATAGTAGTGTATAAATGTCGAAAAGGGGGAAGGAAATGGAGAAAGGGAAAGGTTGGAAATCAATAAGATAGCAGAGTTTAGTGAATGGACTGGGGAGAGACTGAAGCAACATTCAATGGGGATTCAAAAAGACAGTATAATAATATACATAGATCAATAGTAATTATAGAAAATATAATGAATATGAATGATTGTATGAAACACAATATAAGTGAAAGACAGTATAAAAC